TAGTAAAAGTGTAATTTTTTATTTCATTGTGTAATTGGACATGTAATTAATGCTGTTGAAGTATGGCATATTTATTGTTATTCGGAACGCCATAATTGTCAGTTATATGCTATAAGAAGACATACAGAATAAATTTGTGTGTCGCACTTTCTTGAGCATACTGTTAACAGTGGACTGACTTTCTTTTAACTAGCGATATCGTTAAATACCTCTTAGGAGCCAGAATTTCTGAGATGAGATTAACCATGAAAGTGGATATTTCCGTCTTCTGGATTGTTGCGCTGTGTAGTCTGGTCGATGTTAACCAACGTTTCATCACCCTCATGACGGAGGCAGTATGACCTCTGAAACGTTGGTTAACATCGACCAGACTACACAGCGCAACAATCCAGAAGACAGAAATCTTCATACTCACCGCTGTGAGAACCTCAGATCTTACAACCATGAAAGTATTTTTGTATCAGATCACCAGATGAAATTGGACTCGATTGGCAAAATTATTGAAAAGCTCTTGTAGTACGTAAGTCAACCCTGTTCAATGTGTGTGTTTGCCATATTTATATGTGGGATTCTTTTGTTTCTCTTCATAAACTATTTATTTCTACAACACCAGGTAGGACACTGATGTGACAATTAAAAACATGGTTACATATAAATAAATGTCAGTTCCATCCAGTCTTGTAATTTAATATATTTGGATTACACTTTATGAGCTGAAATTACTTTTGTTAAACAAAAATTGTTCAGATAACTAAATTAGGATGAAATTATCTTCTTTGCTCTTGTACTTCTAATTTAAAAATTCGATGTTCGGCAAGTTTACTACATTTACTCAGATTTGTAAAAAAAAAAAAAAAAAAAAAATGTTTATCACACCTCAGTTCTTAAAATCTGTAGGTATGAGCCCAAACCCATAATTTAGTAATGAATAATGCTTACTGTAACTTGTATAATAAATAGAAAGCATGTTGTTCAACCATAAAATCCTACTGTATCAGGAAGCATGTAAAGAAAAGTGAATTTTTACTGTGAATGAAATGATGCAATTTCTCATGTAATTAATCTTGTCTGGAGTTTAAAGTTTGAATTCTAAGGATGACTGATTATATTACAGAGATTTACATCACTGACAACAGCCTGTAAGAGTATATTTTGTACAAAAGTAAAACAAGCATCTGTTTTCTTTTGTTATTGCTTTACCAATGCATTTAGACCATTAATATTTTAATTGAATTTGTGTTGAGTTTAGGGAGAAGACATGGTGTGGTATTACAGCATCATTTGCAATAAGGACAGGACATTTGAATCACTTCACTAGAATGTTTATAAAAATATGCTCAAAAAAGATATCTTTCTTCATGTGCGTATCATCTTACACTTTCTGACATGGCACTTTGTGCATCTAGACTGTAGGGAAGCCTGCGGAATCAGCTCGGGGAGGACACGGTCGAGGCATGTCAGGACTGAGGCCGCCGGTCGTGAGGTCACGAGGCGGCAATACAGGAGCGACCAGAGTAGTATCGCAAGGAAGAGGCAGTAGCATTCCACGGCCAGCATCTAGAATCCCTCCACCTAGAATAAGGTGAAAATACGATGTATTTTGAATTCTATGATGAAACATACAAAGTATGCACGTATAAAATATTCGGTGAATTTGAAACTTTGTTCAGTTTCCAGTTTGTGTATAATTTGTAGTTAAGGTTTGTTATGCAACAGTATTCAAATTAAAGATTTTAAATTTTTTTTTACTATCATCACATCATATTCTTAAATATACAGGATGGCAGCACCTGGCAAGATGAACTGGATGGATGGCTGCTATTGAATTTGCTCCCATTTTGACTCCTTACACCACAGTGCCTACCAACATATCTTCTCTGAAACTGCTAGCCATAGTGCCAACTGATTGCTATTTACTGTAACAATAAACTAATTTTAAATATAATTAAGGGACAAATAAGGATATCGTCATAGTAAAAGACAGTGAAATGAACATTTTAAGGGTATTTTGATATGGGAATATGGCGGTGTTTAACGTTGAGCTTTATTTATATATATATCCAAAGCAGGAAATCTCTGTATTCTGGTTTTGGTAAAAAAAGGACTGTTTAAAAGAATTTGTGTTTCAAATCCACACACATAATCTTCTTTTAGCATCATTTCCTTTTTGTATAGGTTGATGGTTGTCTACATACAGTATTGATCCAAAAATTTAGGTGCATTTCTTTTTGAGTAATAACAAAATAAACACTCGACAGTAGGCATTAGTTTCCATATGTACTAATAAATTTGTTTCGTGTATTTCTGAAAGTATGGACATACTGAGTTTTTAACTTTAGTGTCGTAAAAGCCATACTGATTTTTTTTCCCGTCTCAGAAACTGATATGTTAATATTATTGACATAATTCTTTGACTGTTGTGTCCAAAGATGGTACAAGCTGTTGGAATGCCAGAAGTGTTATAAGCCAAGAAATATGCGCCACTTGTTGGTGTCTGGCTGCACTGCATGTAAAAGTTATTGTTTAATTTGTATACCTTAATTGTGTGTCTTATTTAAATTTTAATTTTGTGACATGATTTGTGATTTCAAAATGGTATATTTTCACACTTTTTCTGCTTGTAAGTGTCATAAATGTGAGTCTCTTGATGTAAGATATGTTAAAGAATGGCTGTGAAAATATTGGAGAAGACCGTTTTCAATTAAATGCTGATATTATGATAAATCAGATCAGTGATCTGGCTCGCTCTTCTTGCGTCTTAACGCATTATACAAAAGATGAGTAAATATGAATCTTTCAACAAGGACTCTACCTCTTGAAGATACAGAAGAGGAGTGGTAACTACCACCGAGTATATCTTGTTTCTGCGCTACCCCCTACAGAGAGCCTTCGACAGAAATTAACGTAACAAGGGATTTGTACATTAATCCCAACCTGATGCCATGAGAATTGATTTTAGATGCATTTCTACTTCATCTTTATTTATAACTTTAATAGATCAGTTAATCCTTTACCTTTGTGATAGAACCGTTACGTCACGGTGGTTCTGGTGCTTAGTTATATAATAACATATTTTAGATTGGTTAGTAACCCAATTTTTTATATGTGTATATAAATATAAGTGAACAAGTTTGAGGATATATATGTATGCTGTCTGCTATGACGTACTGTCCATTAATAAAGAGAGGTTTCGTCCAATTTCATTGTAGTGAACTACATGTAAAATGCGGGAAATATTAGTGATTTTAATAATTGTTAACTCATAAAAATTATTTTGCCGAAGACATCATTTGAAAGGAATTTGGATTCAGTATTGTGATTAATTTCATTTAAAACTGGATTATACACTTTGCAAGGTGAAGCAAAATTTTGTGAAATGTGTTCTTGAATTTCATATATGTTCATCTTTAACACTGAAATCCTGGGTGCAGCAAATTATTATTTCAACTGATTAAAAATGCTGTATTGTAGGCACTGTTTATTGTTAACAGCTTCCCCCCCTCCCCCCCCTTCCATCATCTTTGTACATATGTTAACCATTTCTGTGACCCTTTTATATTACACAGTGTTGGGAATTTGCCTGTAAATACTGTGAAACACAAAGTTAATGTAAAGTAATTGAATAATTTAAATACATTTTTTATTAAAGTCTATAATTTGTAAATATGACTCCCAAACACTATTTGTAAAATTCCTATACCAGTCTGTCTTGCCAATCAACTGAATTTTTTTAATGTAGATTACAGTTTGTTCTGTTATACTTCTTTCTGAGAAACTGTAAGTGGGTTTAAGGGTTTAGAATATTCATTGACTCTTTCTGGGTCATAGTCTTCCATAAGAAATTGATTAATTTTTTAACAAAACAGGTAGCACCTGCTCTGTAGACAGGAGGGGGGGGGGTGACCTTCTATTAAATCAATATCATGTAGAGCAGGGAACAGCCCATCAGCTTAGGAATGAAAAGCATTACATTTACAATGTTTGTAAAGAAGGCTGTGGATGTGGGGAGTTGAAATAAACTTCTGTGGCCTAGCAACAAATACAAGTAAGTTTGAAATGCATGTTTATTATAAAAACAATGAATTTTACATCTACGTGATGTGTTAATGGTCATATTTTGTAAATGTAAATTGTTTCTGTCTCCAAGATAATTGTGCAGAGCATTCTGCTAAAATAAATAATTGTGAATGAGAATGTCAAGCACCATTGGTTCACATACATTTATAAATGCTGCCAACAGTTATGTGATTACGGCTGATAATGAATTATGTGAGGACATTGATTTTAATTTCTTTGATACTGGTGATGGTCCTTCTACTATTGGAAAACCTAATGACAATAAATGTGATGATAAACAGGAAGAGTCCAAGAATGGAAAAATTATAAAGCTGCATGTGTTCAATGTTGAACAGAAAAATGGCAAAGATGAAAAACAATCTGTACAGCTTGGTTCAGTAGATTTCTCCGCAGATATTTCGGAGGACACTGATAAATGTATTTTAATGAAAGAAGTTACAAGTTCAAAAGAAAAACACTTGAACCTAAGTGAGCTAATGAACTGTATAGCCTATGATGAAAGCAAAGATAAAGGCGGTGATGATCATGATGTTATTAGTAAAGTGGAATCACTTTCGCCCGATTTCCGTTCTCTGAGCACTGATACCACCTCTGAAATAACTGATGTTACCACACGTTCCTCTAGTGGATGCTCTTCGATGTCCAAACGTGAAACCACAGATCATTTATCAGACAAGTCTCGTAAGAATTCAGAGAAAAAGCACCAGAAATGTGCTGAAGGCTATGCGGGAACATCAATGAAATTGCTTACGGATGCATTGCATTATTTTGACAGGCAGAAGAGAAAATCAGTAGCATCAAACATTTTATCCACTGAGCATAAAAACAGATCAGGAAGGAAAAACATGTCATTTTCCAATGAGCAGTACTGGAAAATTAAAAGAGAAAATGAGATACTTGATGCAAAACTTAAAGTTCTTAGCAAACAACGTCCTAAACAACCGTCTGCGATCGTAAGTCAACCCAGGTTGTCAAGTTCAGCAATAAACAGGAAGAAACAGCAAGCAAAAATTGATCATGATAATATGGTAAGTACTCTTAGTGTTTATGTCTAAAGTCAATTGCAACATTTTAATTATAATTTTATAGAAATAGAAATGTATTCAGCTGAATACATGTCAACCTTTTTAAGTGGCCTCCTTGTCGCAGTAGTATGGCACGCCCTCATTTTGCAGAGGAATGACTGCTTGACTCCTACATTCAGTATGGCAAGGATTCAGAAATAGTAATGACCTATTTGTTGCTATTATCCCAGCATGTCTGTAGATAATAAAGAAAAGTATAATAAATTTCAATGGTTTCTTGAGTTACTGACACATTTGCATATCTAGTGGAGTAATTATTATTTATTTATCTATTTCTTACAGATTTTGTTGAAGAAAATAAAACAAGCAAAGCCATCAGCAAATATAACAGCTAGTACTATGCAAAGATGATGCAGGATTGGTATAAGAGAAACCAGATGTAAGAGTTGTCATCTATATTTTGATATGATTTTGTTTGATGTGTTGGACAAAATAAGTATCAGTTTATAGTGAAGTGAGATGAATTGTATTACACTTTCATAAAAAAATTTTCATATCCTTTAGATAGAATGTACACTCGATGAACACGATGTGTTTTATGTTGGTTGTTAAATTATCTTTAAGAATCACAGGAAATGTTTCTAGAAGCCAAGTGTAGGTGGACCAACAGTGTATATTTTTATTATATTATAAAATGTATTTCTTCAAGATTGTGTGTAGCTTTCAGTCTTCAAAACAGGAAGACTTGCATCCCAACAGGTAGGAAAAGTTTATTATTTAATTTTCATATTATTACTACAAAAGCTGATGTAGCTCAGTCAGTATAGTGATTGGATAACCTGGGTTAGATCCCAGACAGAGGCAGAAGATTTTTTCCTCTAGCCTCTTTGGCCCACCCAGCCTCCTATCCAATGGGTACTGGGGTCCTTCCTCAGGGATAAAGCGTGGCCAGGGCATGTAGTGCTGTGGTCAAGAATGAGTCGGAGCTATATCTTCTCTCCCCCCAAGCACCTACATGACATATACTGAGCCAGCTTTGCTTGATATATTATTACTACAAACCCTATTAATGAAAAATTCCTACCTGAACCTTTCCAGTGTTCTTTCTGTGAACTTCTAAAGGACAACAAATGTGAATTACCATTTCATATCTGGGAGTTTATACCCAATTCACATTTCAGATCAGATAGCAATTTTATCCCACTCAAAACTAGTTTAATCCAGCTAATATCCGCAATAGGATGTATTAATACTAGGGTCACCTGGATGTATATCCGATCTCGAGTATCTTTCTCAGGTCATTGGAACTTTAGCAAAAATACCCGGGCATATTGCTTCCCTATTCTAAAATCGTATTTAGAATATTGTCCTTTGTATATTTTTAGAAACATATTTTGGACTCTTTATAGCAGTATAAATGGAACACAATACACCCATGTGCCGAGTTCATTCTTTGGAAGCGAGGGGTCATCAAGCCGTGATCATTTGTGGGGGGCATTGCAAATGCAAGCATACTTATACATTTACACTTTACAAAACCTGGTTGCATCGTATGTTCCTATCGGTATATTTATGAAAATAGAATTCGACTACAAAGATTGATATTCGTAAGGAATTAATTTAGGATAATGTTAGTCAAGAGATTAATCACAAGTTAAATGCTTACGTTGGTATTACGGTGACGTTAACAGGAAGTGGTAACAAATCATGGCTCCGGATGAAATCGTGGCATGCTCTGGTTTAGCAGAACACTGTGCGCTCCTCAACTTTTAGTACATATAGTATGTAATGATCAGTACCAACTTCAAAAAATTAATGTTGGGGAATGGGAAAGTTAGTGAGTTATGGTGTTAAATCTATTACGTAATTTAGGTTGTCATTTGTAGTAACAGTTGGGTAAAGATAATGTGGTTAATACTTCTGTATTTGTGTAAGCTAGAGCTCCGCTGCGTTTGATATACACTTGTAGACACGCTTTGGAGGACTGTTTATGTATCGGCAAAAGCGATATAGATCAGTATCGTAGTTTGTATGTATTTATAAATAAAGCTACTTTCTAATTAGTCCTTTCTGAATTACGGTTTCATCAACTCGGCTTCGAGCATCCATCAGCCTTGAAGTGTAAACTTGTAACATTATTTTTATTCTCCACAGA